GTACTCTAAACTGTATAAATAATGTAAAATTAAATTGAATTTATTAGCCAATCAGACAAACTTCTGCCTATGAGATTGGAACCGTCTAATTTGGCCGGCATTAAAATAATTCCGGCCATGACCAACATAATTCTGCCCGAACTATGGACATGTTCATTGGTAATTGTCATTTCGTTTTATTATGCTATTTATCACATTGAACAATAAACAATATAATAAAAGGATATGACAATTACTAATGAACAAGCCGTTTCTAACGTTTAATTTTACCATAGGACAGGCCCAAACCTTAAAAATTTCCTTTTTCTAAATTACATTCTTGATATTCTATATAACCCACACCCTAACTACAACTCTAAAACTCGCGCTTTAGCGACCACCTTTGTTAGAATTAAAAATTAATTCCGCCAATATTATGTATAATGCGGGCCGGAATTTTGTCGATCACTGTCGTTGCCAATCCAAATCGAGGATCATTCGCGCTGCACTTAGATAAATGAATCTTTTACTTTACCAAAACATCTTTCTACAATAATTTTTGCCTTTTCGCTCATTGAATTTTTTAAACCAATCATAATGTCGAATCAAGATCCACCCACCCACATCCCCATTACGTCAAGATCTGGACAAGAACGCATGTTCGAAACTGAACACTTGCCAGCTAATTCTGAAGAAATGTGTAATATTTTGAAAGAAGAGAATGCTCAAATGATAGTTTATTTACGCTTCGCGGTTAGTTTATACAAAATGCTCTTTTTTTTCTTAAACTTCTTTCTAAACACGTTTTTCCGTACAGCTCCATTATAATATGTTTAAATCAGATCCTAATATTGCCATCTCAATTCTTAAAAAAGGACTTTCCCAAGGTATACTCTCTTACTCATTTGGCTCTTTTAGACATTTATTGTATTGCTGATTTTCATAATTCGTGATTCGAAATATGATAGCACGTGGCTCCAACGATGAAAAGATCAGATTAAATAATTTACTAGCCAGTTTATATTATATCAGTGCTCAAAATCCAATAACTTGGGTCGTGAAAGGTACTTTTACTTAACATATTTTGGTTTCGTTCTTAAAATAATCATTAAATTCAATATTTGTAAAAAAAACTCTTACTCAAGGTTTCATTTACCTTGGTCGAAACGATCCTGATGCTGCTTATACTGCATTCAAAAACGCATTCGGCCTTGCAAACCACAACATTCCTGCATTGTTTGGAATGGTATTTAAACATTCTCCATTATTCTTTTAAACATTCAATTTCTTATTAACTGTTATATTTAAATAGGCTCGCATTAAGTATCTTCGTCAAGAATATAAGGAGGCACTTA